CCTTTTCACTCTAGGTACCAAAAAGGTGAGAACGTCTTTGCTCACAATTCCATATGCTTATCCAACTGCTGAATTTTTCCCCAGTTCCTCAATTTATGACAAGAGACTCCACAACCTCTCTGAGCAGTCTCTATCACTCTCAATGTAGTTTTTCTTCATATTTAGATAGAAGTTCCAGTGCTCTGTAAAGAAGTTTTTCCTCATATTCAACAGAACTCCCTGTGCTTCAGTTTGTGCCCCTTGTCCCTTGTTCTGTTGCTGGGCACCACTGAAAAGAGTCTGTCCCCATCCTTTTGACACCTGTTTTTAATATACTCCTATGTTTTGATAAGTTCTCCTCTTGGCCTTCTCTTCTCCAGGCTGAACAGGCCCAGCTCCCTCAGCCTTTCCTCATGAGAGAGATGGTCCCATCCCTTAATCAACTTCATAGCCCTTCACTGGACTCTCTTGAGGAGCTCCAGGTCTTTTGTGAACTGGGGAGCTCAGAATTGGACACAGTACTCCAGGTGTGGCCTCACCAAGGCTGAGAAAAGGGGTAGAATCACCTCCCTCTCTGTTCTGCTAGAGGAACTAAGGTTTCATATCTAGATCTTACATGGGCATCAGCAAGCTTCAAGAAAATTGTATGCAATCTTTCTAACAACATCATTTTCATCACATTTTTTAGTGCAGAGTAATCGACTACACCCTGCATGTTTTCATGGTCTGACTTCTTTACAATAATACATATACACAGCTCCTGTCCTAACACCCCCCCCCCCCCCCCCCGAAAGTAAAAATTTGAGCCCTGGTTTTCTTCTCTTTATTCAGGCCTCTAGAAGTTCACCATGAAACCAATGAATAAGTGATAACCTAGGTATTTTAACCATGCCTAGAGGGGCTTCTATGTCAGAGCTTGACTGTCTTGCAACAGCTTACAGCAATGGCTGTAAAAATCTATTTTTGACTGTTTCTGGTTGCATTTGCAGAAGACAAAAGATTCATCAATAATATCGTATGCTGTGGCATATGAGAAACACAAGTTTGACAACAGATATTGGTAACAAGGGATTTTTTTGTTCACTGTTTTTTTTGGCAGGAAGTGATAGGGGAGACATTAAAAAAAAATAAAGAGAAAAGAAAAAGAAAAAAATCTGTAAACACAAAATCTATATAATGAATCTTTTAAACAAAGGTATGTGAAATTTAGCTCTCTTGGTGCTGAAGCAATACATATAAGACTAGTTACTATGATTCACAAAGAGCCATCTTGCCATTTAAGTAACTTTCAGCTTCAACAGCTGTTTTGATTCATAATCTGTGCTGTAGCAAGGTTTATTTTAAAATACCAAGCAGGGGACAGGGCATTCAAACATCAATTACTTAACTGAGAGGATTCAAAACCTGAAGTGCTTGAAACTGAAATGAAACACATGGCAAATATTTTGCTTCCTGTCACATAAGGGATTCGATCCTGAAAGCTGTTGAGTGCAAAGCTCCAGTTCATCTGCAGTCAACAGGTGAAATTCTGACATTGTCGTGATCAACCAAAATCTTTCATTCACCTTCCACAAGACCAATTTGACCACAGGGATGTTCTCTGAGCAAGGTCTCAGAGTCTTTAAATTCTTGTCATTTTAAGTTGGGTTCCCTACAGGCTTGTAAATATAAAATCATCTAATGATTTCTTTAGAGACTTTGAAAGAATGACAAAAATGTCATACCTTCAGTCTCTGAGAGTTGAACATTTGCAATTGGCTGTTGCAGCTGTGACTAGAGCCAGTCCACATCAGTCCTTCTCTGACACTTTGCATTCGAGTCTTCATGTGGCAGTATATATGTAGTTATATATTATATCACTATATCCCTTCAATCCCATTTCCAAATCTATATATACTTATCAGGGAAGAAAATATTGGCCAGTAACTATTAGTCTCTTCCTGTGTTTGGTAAGTCCTGATCTGCCAGCCCAAGCAAGTCAGTCACCAGAGATGCAGCATGCAGGACCCTTTCACCATGTCTAGGATCACTGACATAAGAGGACTGCCTGGATAAATGATGTGCAGGATTGTGCTCAGACAACACCTGGAATTGCTGAAGCGTTCAGACAAACAGATGGTTGAGAGGAACTTGTATGTGGCACTCAAATTATTTTGTTAATGGTGCCATCTCCTGGTAGCAATTTGCTAAACTCATCTTTGTCCCCACAAATTTCTTACACTTTCTATTCTAATACCATGGGACTGAAGAGAGGTAAACAAAATACTTTAGATTGCTTTGTATGCTAATGTTGGTTTCATTAGTTAATAAGGAATATTCAAATAGGAAACAAGCTTTTACTAAACAGCAGTGTATTTTAGAACAGAACTCTCAGGATATAGACCCAGTGCTTTTAGAAAAGATTCTATTTTTTCCACTCAGGTTGCTTTCGTTTATTTCTTTCCTAAGTATAAAACAATATAAATCCAAGTTAGATGATACTGACAGAGAGCAATGGGTCTGCATAGCAGTGCAGGTCCTAAACCCGCAGATCCTAAACCACTTTGGGGAAGCAATCATGCAGTTCAGAGGGGGTTAATAATATTTGACAAATGAACAAAGGAACTGTACACTGGAAGACACTGATGGCACACCTAATTCAGTAAGAAGTCTTCAGATTCTGAATGGGACTAGTAATGTCTGAAGGCCATGATCAGTGCCTTATAAGGACTCACTTTTCAGAAGATCTAGGAAATAAAGTGTGGTTGAACTTGGAAATACTAAGACTTCACAGTGGAATAAGGGACATATCCAAGTAACGGATCTAATTCCATAATACTACACTGAGCAAAAATGTTTTCCTGAACTTAGCCAATAATTTCTTTCACTGATACAGAAGGATTAGTACCTTTGCATTGTGGCAAAGATACTGTAAACTAATTTTCTCTAGTTCTTTTTCTGTTATGGTTTTACCACAGACTATGCTGTTACTGTGAAAAAAGATGCTTATTTGACATACATCTCAATGCTTTTTATCAACAGAAAGAACTTGAAACAGGATTGATGGTGGTTTGATCTTCACAAGACTTCTGTAAAGGTCAATAAAATAAAGTTTTGTGAAATGCTTCTATGCTATAAAGTTGAGAATCACACAGTAGCTAACCTAATTTGTAATACAGTTCCTGTAAATGGGTAAATTTCTAAGTGATGATGAATTTGGCTTTTACTGTACTTAGATTTGATACGCTAATTTCTCTAAGATGACAGGGTAGCTATCTTTGCAGAAACATACAGTCTCCTGAACGTATGGATAACCTTTACTTACAAGGAGGAATGGACGTTCTGTGTAAGGACTGTGTAAGAACTTCAGATTCCTGCAGATTCCAGTTTGATGTAATATTTGTTTTTCTTCACATTTCTATGCTCAGAAACCAGCACCAAATTTACTCTACCCTGTACCTGAATATTGTTATACCCCAAAGTTATACCCCATTGTTATACCCCAAAGTAATCAGCCAAAACCTCTTTCTTTTTGACTGGAGGAAGGCAGCCTTGCATTTTAATTTGCCACATATTCACCCATATGTTTCCATTCTGTTGCCATGTAGCATCTTCTCAATCTTCCCAGCCAAAGAGAAGGAGATGCAAAGGTAATCCTGTACCAAACTGGACACTTCAGGACTGCAGCTGGTTTACCCAGACAAGCATAAATACATTCTAGCAGAAACGCTTTGCTGGAAGTGGGTCTTATTCAAAAAATACATAAAGGAGCCCAAGCATGGCAGTTTTAGGAGCACTCACATGAGAATCATGCTGGAAGATATTCCAGAAGAAGAGACTATTTCTATTGCCATGTGATGCCTGATGTGCTGACAAGATGAAATGGTAGCAAGGGAAATAGGGAAAATGTTGCCACAAGTGGTGTGTGGATTACAACAGAACAATTTGCAAGGGAGTGGAGAACTGAACTGCACACCTACTGGAAAAGGTCAGATTATGTAAGTGGTAGAATTTTTACTTGGAGAATTCCAACAGTAGACAGGTGCGAGCTACACACTAAATAACTCAATACAGTGGAGTATCTAGGCGTTTGTGCAAAAAACTTAGCTGAAGAGAGATTTTTGAAACACATAATTAGGGGGATATTACAATCAAAATGGTGAAAAACAAAGTAAACTAGCAAAATTTTCAATGTATATTAGAGGCTAGATACTGGATAGTTTGAAAGCAAAAGAGTGGTGGGATTGAACAGGAGGAATATCAGAAAGTAAAAAGTAAGCAGGGAAAAGAAGTCTAAGAGCAAAAATCAGCTTACATCAACTTGTAGGTGGTTTAATATCCTACCTTTATTTCTGTATTCCCAAACACATCTCATTACAGTTTAGCTGTTTTCACATTTAGCTGTTTTCAAACTTGTTTCTCCAACTATGTTTCTATATTTCGGAGAATAATCACTTTGATCTAGAGATAAAAATACTGCATTTACCTTCTGTGGATGGAATTAAATGAGATTAACTTTTACTCTCATGAGTACATTTTTTCTTTGCCCAACTTTTCTAAGGAACTTTCAAAATCTTATTTATATTCAAATTGTTTAAAGATTTTTTTTTAATGCAAGCTAAGCTTTTTACTTCATAGACACTCTTTGCCTAATGTTAATTATCAATTAAAGGGCTAACCATTTCAATGAATTTATTTGACTTACGTATCTTACTATTGTCTTATTGATTAATGCTTTTGAACTGAAAGTGGGACAATCAGCAATCTCCCTATGCATCATTATTTTATAATTTAGCTGGAAGTGGCTGTCTGTTAGTCGCTTGACAGCACTGCTTTGTGAACTCTGCTGACTGGAAGCTGCCAGAAGTACTATATTGATTCCTAGCTGTTGACATCTGCTTCTATATTTAAAAATAAGTTATTTCTTTGTTATGCAAATGACAGGCGGAGGGGAGCATTATTATTCTGAAACACAAACTAATTAGCAGCTGTGGAAACTCCAAAACATTCTGACATCAGACAGGAGGAGACTTAGTACCTACCTTATCACGAATTGTTGTGTTTTCACATAAAAATACCACAGTAGGCTGGCATATCACATGCTCCCTGTGTGCCTAAGGCTTTGTAAAAACAGAGTGATCACTGATAAATATTGAGAAAAGCCTCGGGCCTTACGACGCCTCCGAGCTGACGAGCTCCCCGCGGCGGTACCACGGGTGGCCGGTAGGTGGCGAGGCACGCGAGCGCACGCGGTGGGAGCGGGACCCGCGGCGGGACCCCGAGGGATGGAACGCGAAACCCGCGTCGCCTGAGAGCCATGTCCCGAGGGATTTCACCATTTCCATTTTCCTCTAAGGATGACGCCTTACTGAATATTACAGTGTAAAAACGTAAAACCTGCACTGAGCTGGAAATAAGAAGACGTTAATAAGCATTTACGACAAAAAAAAAAAAAAAAAAAAAAAAAAAAAAAAAAAAAAACCACACACCAAAAAAACCAGTCCAAAAGTATGGAAAGATATTGGGAAGTGAGTGAAATCACACAACCTCTTATTTTACAATTATCATGCAAATCAGACAACACAGGGTAATGGTTACTGGATGGTTCAGAAAATTGGCAATGCCCTGGCATTTTTGTCTTTGATCGCTGGTTTGAGTTCAATCTAGAATGGAATATTACCCACTTGGCTCAAAAGAGTTTGCTTTGGTGGTTTCAAGCAAATTCATGATTGTTCACATCATAAAATAATGACAGCTACTTGGCAAAGTGATTTGAAAGGGAGGCTAAGGCTTTGTCTGAACAGTAAACTTGGGCTATTTATGAGGATTTAGTTGAAGTGATATTATTGTCTGGATGTAGTCATACTTGTATACCTATTTCTGTATAAGTAGGGATTTAACCACTATAGCTATAAGATACTTTTATACTCATATAAATGTCTACTCTAGAAGCTGTGCCAATATAATTTTACTGATAAATGCCCTAGCTTAATCAAAAAAAAGAGTACAAATATTGAGAGAGGATTAGAGTAATAAATTAATAATTTCATCACCCTTAAGGCTATGAATACATGAATAGGTCTGCTCAAAACAAATTAGACAGAGTATGTCAACCATGATTTTAAATATTTGTGATAGGAGAGTTAATAAGCATGAAAAATACTGCAACATTTATAATACTAGTCTGGCATCCTCTGCACTACCTAGCCTTCCCACTCAGTTGTCTCTTTCCCGGAGTTGTGGAGTTCTTATCTTCATATGCTGTTGGTTCGGTGCAAGATTTGGTAGGCAATCTTCTTCCTTCTGTCCAAAAGCTGCCTGAGCCTCCTTTCAAGTAAAAGCATCTAGACTGCAGTAGATCTGAAAACAGCTGTGACATGCAAAAGGCACTGAGTGGATACAAGGGCTTTTGCAAGGGCAAAGGGCCCAGGGGCTTTTAAAGGAAGGGCAGGGAGTGTTCCCTGCCCTAGGCACTGGAGCCTTAGCCACAAGGTGCTTCTGGGGACAGGTAAAGTCAATTTTGGCTGGAAGGCTGGGAAAAAAAGAAGCAGAAGAAATTATATTTCCAATATAGTCACTGACACCTCTCTCCTTTTGATCAAAAGAGTAAATTATACCATGCAACCATGCTTTTTTTTTCATACAGCACTGTGAAGGATTTAAGTGCTATCACCTATCAGTGACAGACACACTCTTTGTGTGAGCATTCCTTATTACACTGAGCTCCACATTTTGTACAGGGATAGGAGATGCACAGGTGCAGTTTAATCTAACATACTGTGAAACTGTACTCTACTTTGTCACAATACTTTGTTAGCAAGGGGCTAAGAGAAATTTGAGCTAAACAAGGTTGAAAACCCATGGATCTGCCATGACTACCTAAACATACAAAGTCATGATCAAGTGGTGAGGTTAGAAACCTCAGCAGTCCTTAACTACTAACTGAAGACCTTAAATCCTATTTCAGAAGAAGTCAGGAAGCCCGAGACACCTAGAAACCCTCAGGGATTCATACTTGCAAGCATAATTCACTTTGAGAAATGCAGTTAAGCACTCTGACCCATAATTTCCGGCAAACCCAGTTACAGTAGTGGAATACCCTCACCCTCTCTCCCGCCCCTTTTCCAGATATCAGAGCTGGCAGAATGGAGCATCACAGCTCTAATTCACAATTGGACAAATTAACTTAAACATTAAGATAAAATTTGTGCTTAGATGCTTCTGAGTGTAAATTAGAAAAGTTGAAATATTTTATTTTCCCTCTGTTGTGAGGCCAGTAGCAAACAGCTGAAAGCTGAGAGAGTAACATCCTAAACTGCTGCAGCTGTTTACTTGGTAAATGTGAACCAGGCCTCTCAAGTCAATTTGCATTTTCTTTGGTAATAATATGTTGGTAAAGTTTCCATGTATTAAATTCAGTGACCTAACTGCTCAAATAACTCATGTTTTTATATGCCTAAGTCAAGGGAGGAACCAGAACGAACAAATTGCTTTTCAAAGCGTAGTTATTAGGAATCTCTGAAAAATCAGTCCCCACTAAAAGTGTCAGAGGTCATTACCAGTAAGTCACTATACATTTCGGAAGTTACATTGGAAACTATTTAAGTTACATGTCAAACTATGTCAAATGTATCATAGTTCTATATTGAAAAATAGTTTGTCTTGATAAAAATACTTCAACAGAATCTGCCCATTTTTATCAAACTTTGGCAGCATACATATGCTTACAAATTTTGGCATTTGCCTTAAAGGCACATTTTCATCCTGCCTGTTTTCCTTGTAGCTCCCCTGGTTGGCACCCTGCCTGGCAGACTTCTGCAGCATGAGGCCTCAGGTTCTCCAGGCTCACAGCACAGACAGATTCCCTTAATTTAGGACCTCAGTGCTTGGATGCCCAAGCAAAACATTTAATTTCATGGAGCAAGTTTTCAGTCTGAAACTGAAGTAGAGTTTTATTAAATTCCTATTTGTAAACAACTGATGTTCAAGTTTGCAGATGTGCTTAGTAAGGCAGCAAAATAGTTTATGCTTCTTATAATGTGTGCTCCCGCTTCTTCACCAAAACAAAGCAATGATTCAGGAAGAAGCACAAACAAATATTAGCTCACCCAGTAGCCTCCGATTTCAGCATTCACTTGCTCCAGTTGATAGAAACAAGAGAAGAAAAAGCAAGTTGAAACTCTGCATCCCATTCAGGTGTCAAATTTGTCACCACTGAAAAGTGCCTGATCTACCAAGACAGTTCCTCTGTTTCACACTCGATTTGGTTGAGCTCTTTCCCATCTGGTATATGCATAGGAAACCCCAGGAATATGAGATTTTTGGTTCAGATGCCATAGGTCTCGTGAGGCAGAAGATGATCAGTGCAGTATGCAATGGGCTTCCTTTGGTGAATAAATTATGGCCTATTTTTCTAGGGGAAAAAAAATAGTTTGTCTGTGAAAGTGATAAGTTTGAGGTGCTGAACAATTATAGGTACCGGGCTCTGGAGTATCTGCATGAAGCAGAGCTTTTCCAGGATGTCAATATTTTAGTAGACCTAGCTGAATAATACTGCATCACTGCATTACTCACATCTGATTTTTCTCCCTATGTCTTACAGACTGAAGTATTGTATGGGGGTTAAGTTGTCTAGTGATTTAATCATAAAATTTCCGTAGCAGGTTTTTTTTTTCCTTTCTCCCTGATTTCACAGAATGCCAACTATCTGATCCTATTAATCCAGTAAGGCTTTAGGGGTTTTCTCAGCTTGTTAGCATTTTCCATGTCACTTCTATGACCTCATTGTCCAGAATAAACTCAGGTGTGCAGAAGAGGTGTTGATTTATTAAAAAAAAATGTAAATTAAATAACCTGCTTTGTTTAACCTCTCAAACAAAAAAAGACCATTATTAACACAAAACCCAGATGGTTATTGCCTTGGCACAAGGGCAGGATTTACAATTTTCTAACTCCTGGACAGGTGAGACTCTAGGAAGGCTTTTCAGGAGTGAGGTGTAGAGAGGTAAGAATAGGAAGAAGGGGAAGGCAGAACACCCAACTACTTTTGAAGAGATCCTGCTGAGAACAAGGAGATATTATGTGGTACCTGAGACAATCAGAGAAAAGGCATAGTGACAGGAGTTCCCTTCCACCCATGTGAAGGTGTGCATGTTTGAATGCATGGATGGTCCCGCATTGCTGAGCAGCTGCACAAGTTGAGCTTATAAACTGCACAAATGCATGTTTTTTGCTCATCTTGTTCATTTAGTTAAAATGCCTGGATAAGACTGGATAAACAAAGTGCATCTGAATGACTAAAGATGATAGAAGTGAAAATAGCAACATAAATCAAAAGTTCTGGCTTTCCAAGTTTGAGTTGGGTACTTCTCTGTACTCCACAGCTAAGTTTTGACACAAAAAACCCACCTACAGATGTATGATTATCTGTACACACATGCTTGATACGTCAAGGATATGGCATAGCACAGTAGAAAAGGAAATACCATCAACAGATCCTCAGGTCAATACTTACATGCAGCATAACCACTGCTGTTTTTGCTTCCATGATGCATGTGCAGGAACTGTTGACCTAATGTAAAATGGTAAAGGCCATGAAAACATTACTATAGAGTAGCCTACTGTTCCTTTTTCCTGAGTAAAGCAAACAAGGACAATTCAGTCCCACATTTGCTTCAGTACACTTTGATGCTGATGAATCTTAAAGAGCAAATTTCTGTTTAGGCTCTGATTTAGGAATCAGTGAATTCATCTGTCTGGCTGAAATGCAAACAGTTCAGATTTCATAGTGCAACATTTTTGAACAGAAGCAGGGAAAATTTTAACGTATTATATTGGGTAATGGCAGATTCTTTTTTGAAAAGCAATGAATATTTACGCAACAAGTTCCTTAAAGTGATGAAGCAAGCTTCAGTGCTCAAAAAAACCCCAAAACAGGCACAGGGAGGAAAAAAAGGTATAATATGCCCCTAGTAATTAAACAAGAGTTCCTTGGAAATCATATTTAGTAGCTAGTCAGAAAGTTTCTCAAGGTAGTAATTTATTTATACTTTTGTCTCTGTTCTGTTGGCAAACAGTTTATCAAAAGTGCTCCACGAGATTAAATAAGTTTATTAACATACGTCTGTGCTTAGCAAACCCA